GTATAAATAAGTATTTATATTTGTGTAGCCTTTGTTTTTAGGGTTATTAACAAAGTTTGTGTACTCAGACCAGTAATTTTTGGGGTCACAAGTTTTTGCCATGAATATTTAGTGGGTCAGAAGATAAAAAGTTTGGGAACCACTGGGTTAGTGGAACTCATTTTTAAATTAGTGTTGCCCATCCCTGCATTTGTTTATATTTTGCCAATGTTTAACAAGGTTATTAATCAGTAATATCTGGGATCCCAAAGTTTATAATAAAAAAAAACTTTGGTAAAAGCCCAGCTGAAACCCCTCAATCATCCATTTAAAGTGACAAAGTCAGAAACGTCTGCATCCAGCTGTGAGAACTGCAGACCTGTACTTCAGGGGCATCAATAAAGAGGGGAAATTTGGTGCCTCAGGTCAAAATGTTCTGGCTGAAAGAACAAAGGTCTGCTTAAACAGCAATAACAATCTGACATGAGCTGAAGTACYGCTTTACTGTAAATATCAAGATCAAAACAGATTCGGTTTTTAGCTCAGAGGTCTTTGCAGCTCACTTCCTTCGGTACACAAAAAAACAAATTCTACCCATTGCAGCGACGACACGCAGCGCCTGTGAAGCAGAACTATGGCTGTGGCTCAGATGTGGCTTCCTGTTTCCTGTTGACTGTGCTTCAGTCTGCCAGCGAATCCCCAGCAGAGCCATGCGAACAGCTGACGCATCTCATGTTATCGTCCTCTGTTTATATGATGGATTATACACTTCAGAGATTATGTGGATGGGGGGGAAAAAAAAACTAAGGCACAGATGGGGCACATCTGTTTTTTATGCTCCCAGTGTTTAATCTGATTGATGTTTGTCCTCTCAAATGACACGTAAGGCAGTTTTCGACACATTAAAGTGGCATTAACGAGACAAACTGTTTCCATCAGGCTGGAATCAGTTTAAAACCTGACAGACGTCAAGGATAAACATTTGTGGGTTTTGTTTTTCTGAAGCTTGTTTTGTTAAATCCACTGAACCACAGACAAGCGTTAAAAACACACATCAGAGGTTTAGTCCTTCATTCACAGGAAAAATGATTGTATCTGAGGGTGTTTTGTATTCCAAACAAARGCAGTACTGTGCAAAGGTTTGACAGCTGTGGGCAAAATGCTGTGAGATACAAATGTTTTTATAAATTTAAATTTAAACCTATATTTGATGCACCTGGAAGTTAACCGTTTCTTTATATAATCCCACTCACAATGCTACTTTTGCATGACTGCTTATATACAGCAGCTAAAATAAGTATTGAACACGTCACCATTTTTCTCAGTAAATATATTACTAGAGGTGCTAACGACAGGAAATTTTCACCAGATGTCGGTAACAACCCAAGTGATCCATACATACAAAGAAATCAAACCATAAATGTCCAGAAATGAAGTTATTTGTAATAATGTGGAATGGCACAGGGAAAAAGTATTGGAATAAAGGGAGGTGTAAAAAGGCATGGAAAGCCAAGACACCATCTGAACTC